GAAAAATGAATTACTCAAAATATTGTGCACATTTCAGTCAATGTTATTTTAAATTTTAAAGTTCTTAAAGCGAATTCCTTTTTCTCAGTCTCTGTCTATATATATCTCTCTTCTCTCCCTCAATCTCACTCTTTCTTCTAAAAGCTGTCTATTTATTATTTTGTTATGGTCTGAACATTATGAAATGCAACCAAAACAAATGACAAAACTTTTGTATTGTTGTTATTGTTGTTGCACTTCCTTTACATTTTATTTTTCATAAATGTGTGTGTGGGGGTTGTGTGGGTTGTGTAATGCTATGTCAATCTTATCATTGCAGCTGTTTGGAAGTGAGAAACAGACTAACACAACCATAGGGAAAGTAAAAACTGGAAAGAGTATATGTGAGTGTGTGTGTGTGTTTGTGTTTGTGTGTTTAGGGGAAGTCTGCCTGGCACAACAATTTCTGGCAGCTGGCGAAATTAAAACTTTGCTGCGGCTTTAATAAATGTATTTTATATGGCGCCCAAAATGTATGCTATGCTTTTTCATTTGTATCGCTTAAATTTTCCAGCGACCCCAATAGACCATTCATTGCATGCACAATTTGTTGGGTGTGAATAGATAAAAATTAATAACGCGATCCTGCAGAAAATGTTATCAAAAGCAAGGCTTGACAAAATAGGATGGAAAAGCTAATGGCGGACTTGTTCACGTACGCTGGCTCGCAAAGTGTGCGTAATTAAAATTTAATTTCGAGTCGAAAATTAGACTATGAAATTCCAATAACATCGCGGCGGCTTTGTGCAAAAAGGAGCAGTGTAGTCGAGTATAAGTAAAATTAAATATGAGCAAAGTAAATTAGTTAAATTTAATGTGAAAATCCTTTGATTAAAACCAGTGAAGTATGTACATTAGCGAGAAACAATGTAAACGGAAGGGGAACTTAATATGAGAGTGGGCGAAATGAAACGGATCCGAGAAGAATATTGCTTTCTGCTGCCCGCGCTGGAATATATTAAATCTATAAGAAGCCCGCACGCATACTCTCATCCAGAAACACAAGACAAACAGGGCGACACATGACAACTTTCCCTTCCCTCACAGCCCCATTGCCAATCTCTCATGTGTCCCTGGACATGGAAGGAATCCCGCTGGTGTGCCTTGAGCAACATGGCATAAATTGTCAGAAGGAAGGCAACGGATTAAGCAGCGATGTTGTTGCTGTTTGTTGCGTATGTTAGAGATGCGTTAATGTTGATAGTAATATCTATGCTAACGATAGTTCAGACCCAACACCTTTCAAAATGTATTTTAATTAATATTTACGTTTATGACAGGGCAAATATTGCGCTAAAATTGTTGACCTGTACAGAATGAGAATGTAGAGGACTATGTTATAAGAAAAACCTGAAAACATAACGAAAGCCATTAGAAATATTACCAATATTCTAAAATGCAATTTTCCATGTATTTTTGAATATTCATAACATAATAACATTGAATTATGAAACAGATTAATGCTGAATTTTTACTGCTTTAAGTCTTGCACAATTTGACCTCATTTCATCTTTGATTTATTAATTTATTTTCATTTATAACGATGATTTATTACTTAATGATATTGGGAAACTTCACATTTATCAAAAATCTATTTATAATTGGATGTAGTTTGACCAACCATTTAACAGAGAATTCTTATTTATGGTACAATTCATACTCTGAGCGCTGTCAGAATTTTTGAAAAATTAACAAACAATCCATTCTGCGATATTGTTTTCCATTCCTCAATCTTTTTTTTTTGTATTCATTTATTTTAATAGCTTTTACCAATAGTTTGCAAGCGTGTAGGTGGCAACACTAACTTTAGCATAATACTACCCGTAAACTTTGACTTAGTGGCAACAGAAACACTTGAATCATTCAAGCCAGCAGCTGCCAAGTGGCGTTGAAGGAAAACCGTTAACTGGAATGCGCTACTGGGCAGCTGAACTTGGTGTTAGCAACCACTGCATAGTGTACACTGTTCCGCCCACCTGCGGCAAGCAGCTCAATTTATTTATACGCATTAAAAACTGATTTATGTGCGGCAAAAGGCGACAGCTCTTCTTGCTGCTCTGCTTTAGCAGCAGCCGCATGAGATGCATCTTTAATTTAGTTGGTCTTCTCACACACATTTACACACTCACAGAAACACACACACACACACACAAGGAGAACACGGCTCGGCGTTTGCCGCAAATGCGTCTTCAATGAATTTCTCACTTGCGCTCAGTGCTCAGTAGAGTAGGAATTGTAACAGTCGGAGGCAACGCATCAGCTGGGCTGCGGTACAATTAATGTGGCATGTGGAGAATGAATCTCTTTAAGTGCGAATGCAGAAAATAAGCTGATTTTACTCGCAGTTAGTGTGCAGCCAGCGGTACATGCTTTAAAACTTCATGAATTTGCCATGAGCGTGGAAAATTTCTGGAAAATGAAACTCACTTCGCAGACTTTCAGCGCACTTAAATCAGTTTTGGGAAAGCGCAATCAAATTTTCTTTGAGATTCTTTTTTATTTTTTTTTGTTTTTGCCTTCAGCCTACATGGCTGCATAGCAACTGTGCACAGCTTTACACCCACACACGGCCACACAACCAAGTCTGTTATCGCATTAACAATTTCCTACTAATTTCGGCATCCAGACGCACACATACACACACACATTCACACACACACACACACGCGCACAAGCTGTATGTATGTTCGCCATGAAGTAGGAAATATAATTAAATTGCGTGCCTCAGCGACACTGCTTGGATGGCTTGCGGATATGTATAATCTCTCGGGCAGACGATGAAGTAAACTATACATAATAACAAATAATTTCATTAAAAAAGAGTCGAGCTAGCAACTACCAACAGAACCGATTCCAGCAGCAATAAACTAGTCAACGGAGCATAAAAATCCAGCTGAAGGCGAATAATTCCCACTTGTATTTAAGTAATTATGCAAGCGAAATCCCTAAGCTGCCAAAAAAAAACAAAAAATGAGCAAAAACGAAACCATCCAGAACAACAAACTCGTGTGATGGCTGTGTTTTTTGTTTGTTTGTCTCCAGCTGTGTTTGTCTTCACGCAGAGCAATCAAATGTGCGTTATATTTATACCCAAATATCTGTGCTGAGTTGGAGTGTAATCAGCGCAATATCTGTATAGAGCAAAATCTTTATATTACATACTTATATATATATATATATATATATATATATATATATATATATATAATACATATATATACATGCTCTTCACTCATTTATTTGCTTCAGCTGGTTACCGCCTGCAGGGTATTAGAGTGGGTCTAAGCCGCTTTGCCAGCACTTGTACGCGTCTTACTTGTAAACGAGATTTGGAGAGGATTGAAGAGGGACTCTATTGAGTTGTTAGTGCATAAATAAACTCCATTGGGATATTTGTATTTAGCACGGAAAAACAAAATCTGAGTAGATGTTTTATTTGTTTTTACGATAGACAGAAAGGCAGAGAGAGAGAGAGAGAAAGAGAGAGAGAGAGAGGGAGAGAGAGAGAGTTTAAGGACGGTTGTGTCAACTGTTTTAAATATAGTACAAATTTAAAATTCCAGAAAGTACAAAAAAATAGTTTTATTTTTATTTTATTGAAAATATCAAACAATTAAAATTAACGCATCGATTTATTTAATTCTTTAAATATTATAGAAGAAATTTAAAATTGCACAAAAGAAAAAGTAGACAAAATAATTTTCGAAATTATCCTCGAAAAGAAGCACATTAAAAGACTTAAAACAATAGCATTACGGAACATCTGTGAATGATATCATGCAACCACATAAATGTAATTTGGGCAAGTATTTCCACGTAATGTGTCGATTGACGTTTGACAGTTAAACTGTTTGAAAGGGCCATCGCTTTACGTGTGCACTCCATCAACATAAATCACTCATACGTCACGTTAAACACGCTCTAAGTCCAGAATGACGGCGCATTTAGCATCGGGATGGATGGGGGAAGACCCCCCACTGCTGGCAGACATGGCCATAAATTAATTAAAGCTGCCACATAAAGGAGGCAAGTCGAGAATTGGGATCGTGTAAGCTGCAATTAAACTGTAAACGCGAAATGCGAACATTGGCAATGGCCGTGGCAGCGGGCAACAGCAAATTACAACCATTTACAATTAATTTGAACAACACTTGCCATGCAAATTGCGTGCCATGCCTCATAATTTCGAACGGTCACACACACATACTCCTACACAAACAAGCACACACACACACAGAAACATTCTCTGGGCCAAAGTCAACGTGGGTATTTAAAAAGGGCAACGTGCAAACACTCAATTAGCATATCAATAAATCAAGAAAAAGTGTTCCCTGTGCTGAAGTTAAGTCCTCCACCCTTCCTCTGCCTCTTTGGGTTCGCCTCCTGCTGGTAATCAAAATTTAGTTAACAACGCCAAACAATTTATTAACTTAGCTCCAACGCCGCTACTTGCCTGCCTCAAAGGTCTGACGCTGACCTTGTGCTCTTTGTGGGCTATCGTTGCGTATACGTGATGTTTGCGTGCCAACAATATTAATCATGGCCAGAGCGACGGCGTCATCGATGTCCTGCTGCTGCTGGCCTTGTATATTGATATTGTACCTATATGACCTAGGTGGCCCGAAAGTGTTTGTTTGATTGAAGCGCCCATAAATTTGTAGGTGTCCATTGTGAATAGTTCAATTTGTTTCAGGTCGAGCTGACTGCCAATTAAAATGTTGCCAAAAGCCAACCAGAACTGTTAGAGCTGTCTGTCTGTCTGTCTGTCCATCTGTCTGCTGGGCAGTCAAATGTAAATGGTACGCATACTAATTGGCCACTTTGATGATTTCATTTATTTTAATTGGCAAAAGTAATGCAAAGTGCGTGCGACGTCCATGAAATGGTCGCCACATCCGGAATCATTCAATTAAACGTTGATAAACTTCAAATGTGTTGACAGTCGCTGTTTCATTCTGACAATGCAGCAATCACTTCAAATAGCGCTCCTAACACTTGTAAGTTAGCAAATTTATTCCTTTATATTTGACTTACTTAATAATTATTGCAATCTTAAAATAAATTAGTACCAGCTCGCAAAAAATTTAATTGAATTAATTAAATGCTGAAGGTGATTTTAGAAATTTTTAATTTTAAAAACTATCACCGCCAGCAGCTGCCTAAAATTCGAAGAATCTTATGTAAAAAAAGCTTGTTCCAGTTTTGCAAATGTCTAAGCTGCATATCAATGTGATAGCTTAAGTTGATTCCTTGCTCCTAACTCGAAATTTTTCAGTTGTCGCACTTTTTGTTTGTTGTTGATGGCGAGCTAAGTTGCAAGGATATGCGCGTGAATGCGACAGTAAGTGGGAAACATACACACACACACATACACACCTCTAAAAACGACAATTTATTAAAACAACCAAATTCTCGGCAGCGTCTTTCCGCCACTTGCTGTCAGCTGACGCGTCCCAGTCTCGATACGGGCAACGAAGATTGTCGCGCTGAACTGAAGTTGCCACAAAAGCGACGCTTTTCATTTGTCGAGCAGTATACCATCAACATGGTAAGCTGTGTGTAGGAGCATACCCTGCCAAAATCAACTAAAGAAATACTTTGAATTGTGCTTAGTGCGTGGAGGAGTGCAACTTTATTGGCTCTGGCTATATAGACGTGGATCCACCCTATCGCCTGGATATTGGTCGGATAAGGACGAACTTGAAGAGCACTCTGCCAGAGCCGCAGGCCACAAGTGTGCCATTTATGGTCAAGGCCTACACCAAGTGCGAAGTTTTTCGTGAGTGAGCTCGATGCTGATTCGATGGATTATAAAACGCTTTGACATCTTGCTTGCAGTCGAGCTGCACGGAACGCACTTTGCGCTGCATCTACCGGAACTTGAGTTCATCAAGAACCCGTGCAAACCCTTCTCGCTGCACATCACCATCTGTGTGCGCATGCACGCGATGCAAAAATGCCCCAAGGAGTTCTACGCGAACAGCGCCCAATGCCAAATGGCTCAAAAGTATTTCACGCAGTGCATGGACGACATTGAAACCAGTGTAGGATAGGGTGTCGACTCTTGCACACAGCTTGCACCCAGTCAACACACCTTTCGAACGGAAAGCAGCCAAAAGGCGATACGTGTAAATGAAATGTAAAAAAGTTCACAAAATTCTGCAGGCATACATATAAATTCGTGTTGCACTAGCACAAAAAGCACTACAAAAATACAGCGCTTGGAAAATAAAAGAACTAAAGTCATAAAAGTCATAGATGAAATATGGCAATTTGACTTTGACGCTCTCTGTGTGGGTTAGATTTTTGAGTGTGTGTATGTGCGTGTGCGTGTGCGTGTGTGTGTGAGTGTGAGTGTGTTTGCCGAATTCACATGCTGAAATGTCAAAACTGCAAATTGAATCACACACACATACACATGTGCTCGCATGTCAATGTCCGCTGCTGCTGACTTTGCATACTCCGTCTGCTCCTTCAAACTTCCAAGCGTTTTGGCACTTTTTTCCTAGCTTTTTTCTATATTCTTTTTTCTCACATCTCTGGAGCCGAGTCAGCAGTAAAAGTTGACTGGTGTTGGTGTCCGTGGGTGTGTGTGTGGGTGTGTGTGTCACAGGATGTGTTATGCAACTGAAGCAAAGGCAAATTTATGTGTTAGTCCAGTGCCTTTCAGCGTCTGCCAAACAGACAGACAGCAGGGTGACTCACCCAATCTTCATTGCAGGCCCTGCAGCGTCAGGTTTAATGGAATTTACTTGTATCGTCCCTTAAGGCATCGAATGAATGCCGGCTTCCTGTTTGTGCCTTAAAACAATTATTATATTATAGTGGTTGCTACAAAATTTGAATATTCTCAGATTAGAAATTTTTCGAAATCGAAATAAAATATTACATAAGTTGTTGTTGTTTTGTATATGAAATATAAAATTCTTCTATTGAAATAACAAAAAGTTACACTAAATTGCTTAATTAAATACAAGAATTTCAAAACTAATATTTGTTTAAGAAAATCAAAATCATTAAATGAATTTAAAAATGAAAGCCTTTTGATTTTAGACTGACCACTATACTAAATATCTATCCGACTCTCTTTTCTCAGTCTTGGCACTTTCTCTCTCTCTCTCACACACTTTCTCTCTCTCTCTCTCTCTCTCTGTCTCATGCTCTACTATGAAGAGTCTTTTCTATTTCTTTAGCTTTGAGTTTACTTTGCTGTGATTTGCATTTTTCTCGTTGCTGCTTCTGCTCTTTTGCCTGGCAATCAAAGTGCTTTTGCATTTTTCTTTAATTACGCCCTAGAGTCAAATTAAAACCAAATGATAGCCATGATACACACATACATACGAACACACAGATACACACACACACAGATACACACCCACACACTCAAGCAAGGGCTCACAGCAATTTTGTAGCCTTTCCATTTGCGGCTTTGTAAGTTTTACAGTTTACTTAGTCAAATCAAAGCGCACGTTTGGCCAGCTTTCAAGAAAATTGTTTTCATAGACAATGTCCGGCGAAGACGGCCCAGCCCGTCTGCAGTCTGCCACAGTCTGGCAGATGTGCTGCAAGAATCTACAGCCTTTTGCATGGAAGCTACTCAAGTGTCTAATGACCACTAGGTATTGCCCATTTTTGTGCTAGCTAATTAGTTCAGATTGGCGCTACAGTGCCAACTTACCTCCCTTCTCTATCTCTCTCATCCAACACATATACGCCTTGCCCTGCTGTGGTGCCCATGCTATGGGACTGCGGCAAGTAAAAGGCGTCGAGTGTTCGCAATTAAAATAAAAATCATAAAAAAAAAAAATATTTAAAAAAAAACACCTTCAGGCAAGTTGCACGTGTCTGGCAGTATTCTGGCAGCTTAGAGATGGCTGCGTGTTAGATATTTTCAACACGAATACCATTTCAATTTTAATATCACGATTTTTTGCTAAACATTTTCTTATTTGTATTTTGTAATCCATATTTGAATTCTGAAAAGAGAATTTTGTGTTCTTTAATGATGTAATGATGAATTTAATGATGTAAAAGTGTGATTCAAATTTTGTTTAATAAATTTGGCTTGCCTTTTTATTTGATTAATCTTTAAGTTCGTTTGTCATTTTGTCCATATTTAATATTTTCTTATTTAAGAAAAAGTTAACTTTTTATTTAATCGACTTAATTACAAGGATTTCAAATAGAATGAGTTTAAACATCAAGCATAAAGTATTTAATTTGTTTGCTCTGCATTTCATTTTAATATGCCTGGTTTTATGTCATGTTGACGTGCCGACGTATTAAATTCTGATTTTTATTCACGAAAAATAAAAAATAAATCCCTCTGCATCCAGTTTTGTAGCTCTACTGTACCGTCTGTCATACTCCTGGGGCGGTCAGGGGGCAAGGAAGCTGCATAATTCATGCAACCACTGCCAACAATAACAAGTTGGCTGGCTGCCTGCCTGCTTGCCAGCCTGGCTAGTGGTTGTGGGTGGAGTTGGGCACACAGCGGGGGGTTGCATGCAATCAAAATTATTATAATTGCGACGCGTTCGCCATTGTGCGACAACAATGACTTCCGCTTCCGTGCTGAAATTTGCTTGTCTCTCCTGTCCTGTTCACAGTTGTAGCTTTTGTTGTTGTTATTGTGCTTGTGTGCTTGTTCTTGAATATGCGACGCCTGCATCTGCATTGTTTTTAGGCAGGTCGTACAACAATACAGATAGAAGAGCATAAGCGACACATTAAGTGCCTGCAAAAGACGCGCTCAACGAAAAGTGAGCAACGCCCTCTTCCCAAGGGGCTAAGGGTTGCAATGGGGGAGAAGTGGTTGTCGGTGGAGGGAGGGGGATGGAGGGGATTCTGGCGAGACAGCGGCTAACGTGCTCAAGTGGTGAATAGCTAAGGAAGATGTTCATGTCTAGGGGATATAAAGGTATTCGTGTGTGGGTTTTGTCAGTGTGTGTAACAAGTGTAAGCTGCAATTTTAATTTGGGCGACAAGTACACATAAAGGGAGAAGCATAAGAAGAAGCTGAAGTTTGCATATCTGACTTATCTGTCTGTGCAACTACATGCAGCCAAACAAAAACTCTGATTAGCTTAACTTTGACAAACATTCATTATTACATAGATGACACAACCTTTTGAGTAGCTTGACAGGCCTGTAAACTGCTCAATTTAATACACGCACACACCCACACACACACAGACCGCATCAATCAAAATGTTAAGTCAAATTCAAAGCACAAGAAAGAGCAAAAGTCTAGAACACTTTGTCTTCTTGGCAGGCAGCTAATGACATAATTCGATTTGTGTTATACGAAATATTTGCCTTGAGTACTTGGTATTATTATGATTATCACCATCATAACTTTAACTAAGTGCATTAATTGGAGCAAAGTGTTGCTAACAAGCTGCTTCTCCCCTTCCCTCCGATCAGCCAGCTAGTATAATATGCCAATATGCCAGCCTATGGTTCGAGAAGATAATTAAGTGCAATTTAATCAGTTTAATTAATAAGCAAGAAAGTTGTTAGTCTGCTTGTTAAAGTAAATACACACAATCAGAACGGAAGAGAGGGGAAAAGATATACAAATAGAACAGACAATAATAACAATGTTTGTCTTTGCAGGAATGAATACAATTGCGAATAGAAGACCTTATTATTTAAGCGAAGCATGATGGGGAGTCCGTATTTGTGCTGTGTTATTTGTATTCAGCCAAATTCAAACTCCCCGGAAGATATTTGACACATGAAGAGACAATTTTAATGATAGAAAATAATATAAGCGGCACAAAATATGACACTTTAAATTTAAAGAAGAAAAACATTTGAGATTCAATTTCAAATGTGTACAATTTCTTTAGAAAAAATGATGGTGGGCTTTTATATCTTCCCGATCTACTTTGTATATTTAATTTTTTTAATACAAAGAAGAAAGAGAGAACATTAAATATATATATATTTTACATATATTTTTACATTTAATTAATTCATTTCCCTTTTTAATTTGAATCTTTTAGCTAATTATTAATATTTCCACTTTTAATAAAATTTATACTATGCTCTGCTAAACATTTCATAGGCACAATCATTCAGAATATTATAGCGATTATATTAATATATCTGCAAGATTATTGCAGAGATAATTTTTCTTTCCTCGCAATAAATGGTTTATTTTTACCACTCAAATCTGTGCCTTAGCCACACTGTTATCATGCATCGGGGCTGGAGGCATTTGTTGCATCAGATGTCAAACATTAATGGCACCTAAACCAGGCAGATCTGAGATATATATTTTAATTAATTGTTATTACGCTTATCTAGCCAACAACCAACCCCCGATCCACCCTTTTTGCTTGGCATATTAGCTATGCTTCGTGCTGTTGGCGTTTTTAATTGTTACGCATACGCCAGGTGAACTGGTCCGTGACACAGGGAAAAGCCCTTTGCATATTAATGTCGACACGGCATGTGAATGTGCGTGTATGTGTGTGTGTGTGTGTGTGTATGTTTGTGTGTGCCACTTGTGTGTGTGTTTTTAGCTATTTGCATGGCGCTTTGCGTGCCTTTGACACTGGCTTTAGCGCCACATCGCTACCTGTCGACATCCAATTTCATTGGGTGTCGGATTTTCACAGCACGCCCATTTTTCATATTTGTGGGACATTGCCTGCCTGCCTGCCTGCCTATCGCTGTGTCGAGTTTTAATTTCTCAATTGCATTATATATGACTATGCCAGCTAATCGATACATATATATGTACATATATAAACACATATAAAACTAATGGTCAAGTGGGGCACAGCATGGCGAAGAAGGTGCTATATAATATATGGAAATAACATATAAACCAGAGCCACGGCATTAATCCAAAGTGGCCACTTGACAGGCATATGAATACAAGGCACACTCACACACATGTACACACACACACACACACACACTCGCGAAGCTGTTTGGAGAGTGACACAACAGGCAGAAATATTACAATACGAGGGCACAATACAATAAATCAGCGAGCTGTGTTCACAGCTACAAAATAAATGCATAAATTTCAAGTGCC